GGGCGGCGGCGGCGGCGGCGGCGGCAGGCGCCCCCACCTGCAGGTGCACGCGGCACGAGCGCTTGTTGTCATCAAAGTCCTCCAGAGGCTGGAAGCGCCCGCAGTGCTGGCAGAAGCGGACCTGAGGGGAGGCGGGCAGGCAGGGGGCAGGGAGGGGGAGGGGGCAGGGTGTGTGTGGAGGGAGGGGCGGGACGAGGCGGGGGTGCCGGTGGTGGCGCAGGCGAGCAGAGGGGTGTGCGCTGGGAGCGGGGGCGCACCGATGCAGCGGCCGGCGGCAGCAGCAGCAGCACGGGGCGGCGGCGAGATGCGAGGCCCTTGGGCGGCCCTGCGCGCCGGGGAGCGCCGCACCTGTTGCCCGTCGCGGATGATGTAGGGGGTCTTGAGGTGCTCCTCGCACACCTTGTACCGCTGATGGTACTCCTTCAGGGCCTCCAGAGACATGCCGCAGCCCTCCACCTGGCAGTACAGCGGGCCTGCGGGGCAGTACACGAGGGGCACAGGGAGACGTGAGGAGGCGGCGTGGGGCGGGGACAGGGAGGGCAGGGACGGCGGCTGATGATGTGCGTGCTGCGTGCCCCGCACGGCTCGATGGCGTCGGCTGCTGTTGGCCTTGGGGCTGCTGCCTGCGCCGAGCCGTCGCAGGGCGGCAGGCGAGGCTGCTCCGGCCTGGCCCCTCGAGGCCTGGGCTCCTGTGCCTGGCTCGCCCACCCACCCGTGCGGTTCTTGAAGCTGCCGGAGCTCATGCGCCCTCCGCGCCCCGACATTCCGCCCAGGTGCATGCCGGGGGTGTCGTCGCCCATTCCATGGTCTGCAGGGGTGCCCGCCGCAGCCTGCGCGGCAGCACGGGGAGGGGAGGGCGAGCGGGGACGGCGGCAACGTCGGCGACCGGCATGAGCCCTACCCTCTCCCCGGGGCTAGGAGCGGCCCTGGCGTTCCATTCCAGCTGCCTAGCTGTCCTAGCGTCCCAATCCAGGCCAGGCCAGCGGCGGGGCTTGCCAGCAGCAGGCAGCCCACCTGCTCAGCGAGCGCGTCTTGGTAGGCGCCGACGACGACGGGCATGGCGTGCACATCTTGGACGGCGGCCTGCAACTCCTGCAGCGCCTGCGGCGCTGCCTGCTCCTCCACCGTCCCATTCACGTAGGCCTCGCCGTGGGCCTCCATGTGGGCCTGCGGGGCGGGGGTGGCGATCACGGGCCCACGGCGGCTGGGGAGGTGCGGGCCGACGGGCACTGCCCTCTCAAGCCCTTCCCAGCGCAGGTCTTTCAAAGAGAGCCGTGTACCTGCGTACCTCGCCCAAGGTACACCCTCTCTGTCCTGCAGAGCCCTCCCCGCTGTAAGCAGGCCTGCGGACGTGACCAGGGAGGCAGGGGGCGGCCGTTGCGGGCGCGATTTGGAGCGGCAGGCGCCTCCAGCGGCATCTTGAGCAGGAGGCTGACTGGGCCAGGGTAGAACGAGCCGCTGCCGATGGTCGATTCGGCGCTCCCAAGGGGCCCCACACGCTTAATTGAGGCTGATACAAAGCGCCAAGAGCTGCACGGCGCTCCCTCACGCCCGCCGCCAGCCCCCGCCCTCGCCACCCGCTGCTGGACACTCCTGAGGCGGGCTCTCTGGGGTGGCTGCCAAGGGAGGTTGGACCCACCCTCCGCAACTGCTACGCGCTTCTAAATGCTACGATGCTAGGCCGAGCCCCACCAGCGCTTTTCGGGGGCTGGTCGCCAGCCTCGAGTGTCCCAAAGCGGGAGGCAACCCCAGGCAAACGATGCGACCCTTTGGCGGCTTGCCAGCCATGGCTGCCATGCGCTCGGAGTCTTTCAGGCTGCCAGCCGAGGCGGCGGCAGCTGCCCTGGCGCTGGTTTGCGGCGGTTTAGCATTCGGGGCATTCCTCGCTGTGTAGATGCGGCACCTCTTTAAGTATGTACCTGCTGCCCGCTGCTGCCGTGCAGCTGATCTCAGTAGCAGGTTCACCAGCTGCTTTAGCTGCAAAAACACATATTATCCCTTCCGCCACGTGCGCCTGCTCATTTTATGGCAGGCCTCAGGGCAGGATTGGGCGGTTCAGTGACGTCAGCGCAGCGCTGCGTGCGCCGCCCGTCGGGGCGGAGAGGAAGCAGCTCAAAGGGCAACGCTCCCCCAGCTTGTCACTGTCCATGGTCGCATGAGTCTCTCGCACCGGTTGAAGCGCGCTCCGGTCGGGGCAGGCAACCCAAGCAGAGTGAGGGTGGTCCCCCCTGCAGCTGCTGGTCCCTGCTGCGCAAGCTTTGTGCGGCTATGCTCCCCTGTTCAATCCCCGCACTCTTCCTCCTGCACAGCACCCGAATGGCGCCGGGTACGGCCTCTGCCTGGTGGGAAAGCGTACAATTGCGGCCATGGCCACTCAAGACCGTGGCGCGGAGCTCACCTGGGCTCACCGTGTATCCTTGTCAAGCGCCCCCGTGTGTGCCATGATGGATTGGCTGAGCCTGGTGAGGACGGGCCACCAACTCCTGCCGCCGCTGCTGTCGCCGCCTGGTTGCTGCACGTGTGTGCCCCCACTGCTGATGCGCCCATGTGCCGTCTGCTGACCCGGGCGCATCAGCAGGATGTGCCGAGCCCTGCATGCATCGTGCATCAGCCTGCTGCTTGAAAATCCCGTTGTTGCTGCGCCACCGCTGCCACACATGCCCCCAAGGCTGAACCGCTCCGCTGCCGCTGGTGTGTGTGCGCAGGCCACTGCCGCAGCGCTCTGGTATCGAGTGCGCCCCATCCCCACCTCCGCTCACGCCTTCCTGTCCACCGCCTGCGCCACGTTCATGATCAACATCGCCTGGCGTGCCACATACAGAGACTCCTGGCACCGCCACCGCCACCTCTTCTCCGCCTTCCTGCGCCTCGGCGGCTTTGGGTTTGGCGTGGGCTGGCACCTGGTGCGCAACTTTGTAGAGGGCATCACACCCGCAGCAGGCGACGGCCCGGCTTCCTTGGCGTGGCAAGCGGCGATCCTGGTACTGGGCAGCGCCGTGCCGAGCCTGCTGAGCCTGTGGGTGGCCCGCCCGCTGCGCATCAGGTGAGGCGTGCTGGGGGCCAGGCGGGAATTCTGCTTCCTCTAGGCATGCTGGCTGCCAGTGGCAGAAACAACCCTTCGCAGTGTGCAGGGCTCTGGCCTCAGCCCCCACTCCACAGGCAGCCTGGCAGCCTCGGTGTCTGCGCCAGCATTTGCAGATGCTTCATGCACATTACCCATGCTGAAGGCCGGGTGCACCCTCATCCACCCCTCACCCACTGAACCTTCGTGCTCTGTGCTGCAGCCTGGCGGTGCCCATCCAGCTGGCGGCAGTGCTGGACGGCGTGCGGCACAGCGGCGACACATGCGGCGCTGGGGGCCTGGCGCTGGCCACGCCTCGGGGGCGGGCCCTCATTCAGCGCCTGTACCAGATGCTGGACACGCTGCGGTACCACGTCCTGCCCTCCGGCCACCAC